ATCACATGTGCTGATATGGGTGTACTGGGTGTACCAATATGGCTGCGGCCGTTCGTGTCAGAAATGACGTCACCACATTCCGCTCTCCGTGATGTTGTTATTTTGTCCACAAGATGGTGTCTGTTGAGGAACTGAGCATGTGCGGGGGGCCATTCTGATGACTATCTCTATATATACAGCTGAAACAAATGATAGGTGCCATTTTGCCACCATGTGCAGATTAGCACAACTTCCAGCCACTATGTGACCTATTTTGTTTTTTTTGTACCCCTGACGAAGCTCTGTTTTCTGGAGCGAAACACGTAGAGATTCTTTTTTCTTAGGGTCTTTCTTTGGGAACACTTTTTCAATGCACATGGTATTCACTCCTCTCCCTTTTTTTTTGGCGAGGTCTGTACTGCGTTTTACAGTGCAACATTTGCATTCCTCAAGACTGGATATGGTGATGTATGGGGCTCATCCATGAGAGGATGACATGTAAGCCCGTGGATGAGTGTACCCGTATTACATATATGTAGAAAGATAGATTATACTATCTAATTAGTTTTGTCCATGGGGGGGGGAACTCCATTTCCTTAACAGAGATTATATAGTCAAGCTGATCGGCTTTTGATCAAACTACAGGGCCTCTTTGTATGCCGTCACTTCATCTAAAATGGTATGGTATTTGATTTGGTCTGGTGTTATTAACCATTTGGATGTAAGGGAAAAAATTGCAATGGTATCCAGTCATATTGTTAGTATATTCTCTGCATATCCACTGCTTCCACTTTACACCCACTTCATTGGTCTTATGGGGTTTATCAATAAATGAAGGAAACTGAACCGTGTGCAAATCCATCCACAACATAAAGTGCTTTGTGCTCAAGATGCTGCTCCCTGCAGATCCACTGCTTCCACTTTACACCCACTTCATTCATCTCATCAGATTTGCTGCTATAGGAAATCATCTCAAATCCTGTGCAAATCCATGGAGACAGACAATATTGTGTGCTCAGTATAGTGTTCTCTGCAAGTCCACCGCTTCCACTTTGCATCTACTTCAATCAACTTATTTTACTACAAAAACCACCAATCAGTGAAAAGTTGATAAGGTGTGAAAGTGCTCCGCCCTCCAAACTGTCAGCTGTAGTGTAGCCACGCCTTCTTCCACCTCTTGTACACGGGATGGTGAGGGCGCCCCCTAGTAGTGCTTCCCCCTCACCACACCAATAGGACTCCCAGCTTTTCAGCTCCCAGAGTCAGAAACATCCTTCACACTCTCCTCATCTCCGATGGTAAAGGAACCGGATCCTCCTCGCTCACTCCTGCAAGTCTGCTGCGGGTTCTGTCAGTCTCCCTCCTAGACTCCGCCTCCAACTGCCGTTCCAGCAGGAGCTCCGCCTCTAAATACACACTCAGGGAGGAGAGAAAGGGGAACCCGACATCATGTGACACCTTTTATTACATGGAAATACGAAAATCAACGGGACTAATGCAATCACATTTACTGCAAAATCAAAGGGGCCAAAACCCCTCCCCCAAGCAGTCATATATTTCTGTCCCCCTTGGTGGGAGTGGAGGTGACCCCTCTATAAGGATCTACAGTCCATACACACCCAGCACAAGGCCGGGGTCACACTACCAGACGCTTCTCGGGGCTGCAGTTCCTCTGAGCTCCACAAGGTGGGGATCTCACTTCTACCCAGACAGGAAGTCTCTATGGAAGACAGACAGGAAGTGATGTCAGGTACAGACAGGAAGTGATGTCAGGTACAGACAGGATGTTCTGGGTGAGAGGTGAATCGGGAGGAAGCAGAGAGTCGACATTCCTGGATCTGGCAGCAGAGGAGGTAATACGTAGATTGAACCCCTTCAGGGGGAGGAGTTGATGATAATATATTTGCCCCCAAAGCTGGCCTACATGGTTCAGTTTTATCGTTCAGCCAGCGGGATGAGTGAACACACTGAAGCAATTCCCCCATCCACACATTGGAGGTGGATGGGGGAATCCTCCCCGCTGCATTCTTGTATTCTGACAATGGGGGGACTCCTCAGCTCTCAGAATACACAGATCAGAACAGAAGCTATTGGCTGCAGCCGCTGGGGGAGTGGCTTTTATCCGGCAGTGGCCACACATGGATGGAAATGTGAGCGATCCCTGCTGAACCAGCTGAATTTCCATGGATCTATGGTCACCTTCAGTGACTTCCTCCCCTCCCCCTCATCTCCTTCATGATGGAAGTCATGCTGAGATCATCTCCCATTGGCTGAGCAATATTCTCATTTGTCTCTCAGCTCCTTCTTGCTATTCCTCGTCCTGCCTGTTGTTTCCTTGGATTGATTTTCTGTGTAGTGACCCCGGCTTGGTCTCTTGGATGCGCTCGTCTGTTGCTTGCCCTGACATTTCTCCTGATTCCTGGGTCTCCTCCTCATCTCTCCTCCATATCCTCTTACACAGCTTTTCTCCACACCTGCAGTGACCCTGGGGGGAGGAAACTTGGCACCAGCACGCTGCCAAATCCATCCCCACCATTAGGGGCTCTGGAGACAATTGTCTGCTATTTACACTCTGTTCCTCCGCACGTCACCTGATCACATGACAGCTTACTTCCACAGATTCCGGACAGATTTCTGGATGGTAAAGGTCAAAGGTCACTCTTCAGTTTAGGAGAGGTAGGACGCACCCAGGAACAAGGATTTGGTTTGTATGGAAGCCCCATATAGAGGACCCCTCAAATCTCCCCATCCAAATGTCCCTCCATCCAGAGTCTATATGTCCTATGACATCATACTGACCTCACAGCTCCTCCCCCCATTGTCCCTCCATCCAGAGTCAGAGAATCCTATGACATCACACTGACCTCACAGCTCCTCCTCCCAATGTCCCTCCATCCAGAGTCAGAGAATCCTATGACGTCACACTGACCACAGCTCCTCCTCCCAATGTCCCTCCATCCAGAGAACAGGGCGCTCTATTTAAAACTGCCCTGTGCATCTCCAGTTGCCGCAAGGTCTTGTTCCTGTTCCTGTAAGTACGTTTCCTTGTTGCCAAACTCTGCCTGTTCTGTTTTATGCTGACCCTCTCCTGCTCTGACCCCGGCTCGTTCCTGACCATCCTTCTGCCTGATCCTCGGTACCGCGCTGCCCACTACCTGCTGAACCTGGCTTGTGACCCCGACCATTTTCCGCTTGCTCCTCCTGTACCACGCTGCCCGCACGATACCGACCCGGCTAGTCTGACCTCTCTCACTCCTAGCAGTCACCCATCCATCCCGCTCGGATCGGGACCTGTCATCCTATCCATCCCGCTCGGATCTGGACCTGTCATCCCCTTCACAGCAGGCTCATCCCGGGCACACACCCTCAGCGGGACCCCTCTTCCACTGCCGGGGGTGCCCAGGGGCGCGACCTGGTTCCAGTTTTGCACCAAGTCCATCCCCACCATCAGGGGCTCTGGTGAAAAGGCAGACTGGGACTTAGACTCCGCGTCCTGGGAAACCCCGTGCTGTGGGACCACTAGAGATTGGGCGGAGCCTGACAGTCAGAGAATCCTATGACGTCACACTGACTCACAGCTCCTCCCTGTCAGGAATGGACTGGCCAGCAATAGTGGGATTCACCTGCCTTATGAGCTGCAGTACCAGGGCTGGCCAGCGGGTGCTCCCAGCAATCAGAGACTCAAACCTTGCAGCCAGTCAAACACCTGGAACTAATTATACTGGTGTATTTAAGGGACATTCAGACCTGCAGACTCGGCCTTGGTGTTGTGTTTTTCCTGGGCCCTGTATCCTGTCCCTGTCTTGTTGCTGACCCGGCTTGATTCTGACCTCTGCTGACTTCTCCTATTCTGATCCCTGGCTTGTGACCCCGACCATTCTCTGCCTGACCCCCTGTACCTACCTGCCTGTTAGTTGCTGTACCCTGCTCGTGACCTGACTATTCTCTGCTTGCTCCCCCTGTACCTACCTGCCCGATTGATATTGACCCGGCCTGCCTGACGACGCTTGCACTGTATGTACTGTTATCTGTGGGTGGTTGGTTTGGTTTGTTTGCACTGTATTATGTTTTAGTATTGCACTGCGTTTATGTTTGTATTGTTAGTGTTAATAAATTGTTTATAACTTATCGGAAGTCTGCGTTTCCCTGTGTCAGTCACACACCTCTGGTCATACCCGGGAGCCCTGACATTACACCAAGGCCAATCCTGACCAGAAGTGGCTGCACAGGGAAGCCATCTTGGTTTGTTGATGGGAAGGATGGATCTGGATGAGGTTGAGTATTTATATCTGCTAGTGTTTGATGACAGGGAGTATGCTTATCAGACTCTGAAGGAGTATCCCCGGGATGAACTGCTAGAATGTATATGGATCGCTCATGTTCTAGTAGATCAGGGCACAGAGTTCTCTGAGGTGCAGCCATTGATTCAGGTTTGTGCTGAGTTGGTTTCATCTGGTACCCCTGAATGCAGGGATGAATTTTTGCCACCATTTAGTGCAGACCAGGTAGAGTCCCTGGTGTGGTTATTAGAGGATGATGTGGGTTACTTTCTGGAGCGTTATTCCACATGTTCACCACAGACACTAAGAGATTGTATAAACGCAGTGCAGTCATTGACCAGACAGGCTTTGTGTAAGCTCAGCTTTGTTCAACCCGTACTGCAGACATGGACAGATTTGTTGCACCCAGCCTCAGTCAGCTTACAAAGACCCAGTCCTGCTTCTAATCTATTTCCTCAAAACTCTATTCCTGCATTCCCAACAGCTCCTCCAGTTACAGCCCAGTATACCCTGCTATCTACCGCATGTCAGTACCCTGTTCCCACTCGCTGCACCTATCCTGCCTTTAACCCTGTAAAGAAGCCCTCTGTAGCAACTGTTCCCTCCCCTGTTCCATCCTCCAGCTCTTCTCTGTCTCCAGCTGCTCCATTCGTTTGCAGACCTGCGTTTACTTGCAGTGCTCCAGTAGTTAAAACCAGAAAAAAGCGAAAATTCTTTCCAACCAATACCATCCTGCCAGTATCCAAATCGGTGAGCCTGCCGTCTGAGAACCTGCCTTCCGTGGTTCAGCCTGATGCCTCTCTTCAGCCTGAAGCCTCTACTCAGCCTGAAGCCTCTACTCAGCCTGAAGCCTCTACTCAGCCTGATGCCTGTACTCAGCCTGAAGCCTGTACTCAGCCTGAAGCCTCTACTCAGCCAGATGCTTCTACCCAGCATAATGAACTGATCCAGCCTGATGATCCTATTAGGCCAGTTGACTCGATGCCCGCTGTTGATCCAGATGATCCGGTACCTGATCCGGTGCCCGCTGTCGTGCCAATTGACTCAGAGCCCGCTGTCGTACCTGGTGACTCGGTGCCCACTGCCTTGCCAGATGACGCGGTGCCCGCTGGCGAGCCAAATGACCTGATGCCTGGTGACCCAGTGCCCGCTGTCATACCTGGTGACCCGATGCCCGCTGTCGAGCCAGACGATCCAATGCCAGACAACTCAGTGCCCGCAGTCTTGCCAGACGACTCGGTGCCCGCAGTCTTGCCAGACGACTCGGTGCCCGCAGTCTTGCCAGACGACTCGGTGCCCGCAGTCTTGCCAGACGACTCGGTGCCCGCAGTCTTGCCAGACGACTCGGTGCCCGCAGTTCCGCCAGACGACTCGGTGCCCGCAGTCTTGCCAGACGACTCGGTGCCCGCAGTCTTGCCAGACGACTCGGTGCCCGCAGTTCCGCCAGACGACTCGGTGCCCGCAGTTCCGCCAGACGACCGGGGCCGAGTGTGCCTCGCAGTTCCGCCAGACGACTCGGTGCCCGCAGTTCCGCCAGACGACTCGCCCGCAGTTCCGTGCCCGCAGTTCCGCCAGACGACTCGGTGCCCACTGTCGTGCCTGGTGACTCGGTGCCCGCCGCTCCGCCTGGGGGCCCGAGACCTGTTGCTCCGCCTGGGGGTCCGGCGCCCGCCGCTCCGCCTGGGGGCCTGAGACCTGTCGCTCCGCCTGGGAGCCTGAGACCTGTCGCTCCGCCAGGGGGTCCGGCGCCCGCCGCTCCTCCTGGGGGCCCGATGCCCGTCGCCCCGCCTGGGGTCCCGATGCCCGTCACCCCGCCGGGGGTCCCGATGCCCGCCGCCCCGCCGGGGGGCCCGGGCCCGCCGCTCCGCCTGGGGGCCCGATGCCTGTCGCCCCGCCTGGGGGCCCGATGCCTGCTGCTTCACCTGGTAATCTCCAGATGTGCCTCTGCCCGGAGTCCCAGCCCGATGGGCCTCTGCCCGGAGTCCAGCCCGATGGGCCTCTGCCCGGAGTCCAGCCCGATGGGCCTCTGCCCGGAGTCCAGCCCGATGGGCCTCTGCCCGGAGTCCAGCCCGATGGGCTCTGCCCGGAGTCCTGCCCCGTGTGCCAGTCTTTGATATCCCGCCAGTTACCAGACCCGGGCGGTGGAACTTTTTGCCCAGCTAGGACTGTTTGGAGCGTCCTAAGGCCGCTCCTTGAGGAGGGGGTACTGTCAGGAATGGACTGGCCAGCAATAGTGGGATTCACCTGCCTTATGAGCTGCAGTACCAGGGCTGGCCAGCGGGTGCTCCCAGCAATCAGAGACTCAACCTTGCAGCCAGTCAAACACCTGGAACTAATTATACTGGTGTATTTGAGGGACATTCAGACCTGCAGACTCTGCCTTGGTGTTGTGTTTTTCCTGGGCCCTGTATCTTGTTCCTGCATCCTGTTCCTGTCTTGTTGCTGACCCGGCTTGATTCTGACCTCTGCTGACTTCTCCTGTTCTGATCCCTGGCTTGTGACCCCGACCATTCTCTGCCTGACCCCCTGTACCTACCTGCCTGTTAGTTGCTGTACCCTACTCGTGACCTGACTATTCTCCGCTTGCTCCCCCTGTACCTACCTGCCCGATTGATATTGACCCGGCCTGCCTGACGACGCTTGCACTGTATGTACTGTTATCTGTGGGTGGTTTGGTTTGTTTGCACTGTATTATGTTTTAGTATTGCACTGCGTTTATGTTTGTATTGTTAGTGTTAATAAATTGTTTATAACTTATCTGAAGTCTGCGTTTCCCTGTGTCAGTCACACACCTCTGGTCATACCCGGGAGCCCTGACACTCCCCCCATTGTCCTTCCATCCAGAGTCAGAGAATCCTATGACATCACACTGACCTCACAGCTCCTCCCCCCATTGTCCCTCCATCCAGAGTCACAGAATCCTATGACGCCACACTGACCTCACAGCTCCTCCTCCCATTGTCCCTCCATCCAGGGTCAGATAATCCTATGACATCACACTGACCTCACAGCTCCTTTTCCAATGTTCCTCCATCCAGGGTCAGAGAATCCTATGACATCACACTGACCTCACAGCTCCTCCTCCCAATGCCCCTCCATCCAGGGTCAGAGAATCCTATGACATCACACTGACCTCATAGGTCTTAGGATGTGGGTGATCCTTGGCATCCTCAGTAGCAAAGCTGAACTGTTTGTTGTGTGTTGTATGTAATGACACCAGAATTACTTACAAAATATTTTTAACCTGTGTAGTGTGGGGATCCTGAGTGGGGAAATTATACTTCAGCCTTGTGACGGAAGTGACTTTGGGTAGGGGTCCCATGGAACACAGCTCACTTTGGAGGGGTGGGGAGACCCCTGTTTCAGCTGCCCATATCCCTCTTATGTGTAAGTCACCCTGTGCCTGTTAGGGGTGCAGGGTAAAATGTCCTGATATTGTGTAGACATGTATAGGAGATAGGTGGGGGGTTGTGGATTGGTGTTATGTGATTGCATCCCATTTTTCTATTGTGTGTCTTGCTTGGGAGCAACCTATTATGGGATGTATGTGTTTGTGTATTGGCTTGGTGGGGGGTGTCTGCTGATGTGTTCTTGTTGCTAGATTTGGTTTGCCCCGCCCTGTGTCTTTATGTTGGGAGGGAGAATTGTTCCCTTGAATGTATATATCTTGTGTCTGTGTTAAAATATAGAAGTCTATTTCCTGGTTTCGTTCAAGAGTGGTGTCCTTGGATCTGTGTTCGGACAGAGAAGAGGGAGTCTAACGGAAATACCCTAGTGCAGTCGGGGTCCGGTTCCGTTATAAGCTTGAAATGGGGCTTTAATAAAATGGAGACCTGAATGGAGAGGTGAGGAGGATTCTGGGAATATCATTTGATGTTACTATTTGTGTTCAGATGTAGAGTTTTCCTCCTGTGAAGTCTGGAGATCATATGACATCACATTGCCTCCACCTCCCTCCCTGATAGAAGAGAGAAAGAAGAAGAAGATTCTAGAAGTCACCAGAGAGATCACTGAGCTGCTGACAGGAGAGGTGAGCGGTGCCGGGAATTCTGGGACATTCTCCAGTAACAGACAAGGGATGTGTCTGGATGGTGACTGTATCATTGTGTGTGTCAGGTTCCTATAAGGTGTCAGGATGTCGGTTGAGTCAGTTGTTCCAGAAAAATGCAAGGATTTGTACCAGGACACCATGGTGAGGAGTCATCCAGCTACAGGAACCCACCAGAGAGATGTCCCCATCCTCTGTATTCCTGGGATTCCACACAGGAAGGTCACACCATCCCTCACCATCATCAGGTAGATGATGACAATTATTGGTAGTTGTGATTTATACACAGCATGTTTGTTACAATGAATGTTTTATTATATCTTTCAGAGTGGAATCCTCGGGGATTATAATATTGATGTTAAAGAAGAGTATAAAGAGGAGGATGAGGAGTATGGAGTGATGGAGGAGTTTTTCAGAAGGACACAAGGATATGATGGAGCCACCTAATACCAGGAACCCACCAGAGAGATGTCCCCGTCCTCTGTATTCCCGGGATTCCACACAGGAAGGTCACACCATCCCTCACAGTTACAAGGTTGGTGGGACAGAGCATCTAGAACATGAACTTGTAGAAATATTGTGTGGAGTTTTTTATGTGACCTTATATTTTACAGATGATATTCTCTCTCATTTCCTTGATTTAGAGTGGAGATCCAATCGATATAGAATTTGAGGTGAAAGCAGAAGAAGAAGAGGCGTATGTGAGGGATGATCAGCAGTCTATGGAGGAGGATGGAATAACAGGGACATTTATAGAGGAGGACACTCCTACAGAGATCAGCACAGGTGGGTCATGAACACTAAATCCATTCCTCCACCCATACTGCTCACTGATTGGTCCAGAGTAGGGCGGGGACTGGGTGATATCAGCCTGTAATACCCTGGTCACTTTCCTGAGCTGTGTTCCATATCTTGCCTGATGTGGGCGGAGTCCTGGTTTGGGGGAACCAATCAGCTCCTGTCTAGTAATCCTCTTTGTCTTTGTATTTTAGTCCATGGCCGGGAGATGAGGAAAACCTCCGAGGATTGTCTCACTTTGTCTCCAGACTGGAAAGTAGAAGATGAGGACATCACACAGTCTAGTCCAGGAGAAAACCCGGCTCCCTCCAATGTCCATCCGGCACCACCCAGTGTAGATGGACCATCGGATTCCTCGTATCCTGAGGAACCTCAGACTGTGCGGGACCGGGCCGGCCTTCCAACAGGGAAGAGGTTCTCCTGTACTGAGTGCGGGAAGTACTTCAGTTTTAAATGCCGTCTTAATGAGCATAAAAAATCTCATACAGGGGAGAAGCCGTTTTCCTGTCCTGAGTGCGGGAAATGTTTTTCACAGATGTCCATTCTGTACAGACATCAGAGATCTCACACGGGGGATAAGCCACTTTCCTGTCCTGAGTGCGGGAAATGTTTTTCAGATAAATCCAATCTTTACAGACACCAGAGATCACACATGGGGGAAAAAGTGTATTCTTGTTCTGAGTGTGGAAAATATTTTGCACAAAAATCAGCACTTCTCACACATCATAAGTATCACACGGGGGAGAAGCCTTATGTCTGTCCTGAGTGCGGGAAATGTTTTTCACAGAAGTCCAATCTTTACAAACATCAGAGATCTCACACGGGGGAGAAGCCATTTTGCTGTTCTGAGTGTGGGAAATGTTTTTCACAGAAGTCCATTCTTAGTATGCATCAGAGATCTCACACTGGGGAGAAGCCTTTTTCCTGTTCAGAGTGCGGGAAATGCTTTTCAGAGAAGTCTGGTCTTTACAGACATCGCAGATTGCACACGGGGGAAAAGCCATATTCCTGTTCTGATTGCCAGAAATGTTTTGTACACAAATCAGAGCTTGTTGCACATCAGAAATCTCATAAGGGAAAGATGCCATATTCCTGTCCTGAGTGTGGGAAATGTTTTGCACGAAAATCAGAACTTGTCATACATCAGATGTATCACACAGGGGAAAAGCCATATTCCTGTTCTAAGTGTGAGAAATGTTTTGTGCAAAAATCAGTACTTGTCACACATCAAAGTTCTCACATGGGGGAGAAGCCGTATTCTTGTCCTGAGTGCGGGAAAATTTTTTCATGGAAGTCCAATCTGTCCAGACATCAGCGATCTCACACAGGAGAGAAGCCATATTTCTGTTCTGAGTGCGGGAAATGTTTTGTAGAAAAATCAGAACTTGTCACACATCAAAGATCTCACACAGGGGAGAAGCCATATTCCTGTCCTGAGTGCGGGAAATGTTTTTCACAGAAGACCAATCTTTACACACATCAGAGATCTCACACAGGGGAGAAGCCATTTTCCTGTCCTAAGTGCGGGAAATGTTTTTCTGTGAGATCCAATCTTAACAGACATCAGAGATCTCACACAGGGGAGAAGCCACTTTCCTGTTCTGAGTGAGGGAAATGTGACATATAAACATAAAAAAGTGACGACAGAAAAAAGTTGGCTTTTTTATATACATGGTTTTTGTTTTGTTTTTTGTTTTGTATTTTGTTGGGTTTTTTTAAGATCTGTGTTTGTCCCGCACTTGTTTAATCCCATTTACTGTGGACTGGTTCACTGTCTCTGCTGGACGTCTATTCCATCCATCCACTAATTGGTTGGGAACTTTCCTCCAGTTAGTTGGAGGTCCTATCCGGGTTCTTGGTTTTGGTTTCATATTGAAAATCCCGCTTTCCGGAACCGTATTCACCTCCTTCTTGTATATAAAAAGGTTCCAGTCATGGCTCATGAATAAACTGCGAATGTGAATTCTACAAATGACATCTACATACAACACGCATGAATCCTGACCATGTCATGTCCAGAAAGACAAGTCCATGTGAAATGGGGAAACAGCCGGGAATGGCTTCACATCAACATTCTTCCCAACGTCATAGGAGTCCTCCCATGATCTTATACCAACACCATGTGTGGAAGTGCTGCAAAGCATGCAGGTTGTGACCCTCAGTTGTGCCTCTCGGTGGTACCCCTCAGTTGTGCCTCTCAGTGGTGCCCCTCGTTGGTAACCCTCGGTTGTGCCTCTCAATGGTGCCCTTCTGTGGTATCCCTCAGTTGTGCCTCTCAGTGGTACCCCTCAGTTGTGCCTCTCAGTGGTGTCCCTCAGTGGAATCCCTCAGTTGTGCCTCTCAGTGTTGTCCCTCAGTGGTACCCCTCAGTTGTGCCTCTCAATGGTGCCTCTCAGTGGTGTCCCTCAGTGGTACCCCTCAGTTGTGCCTCTCAGTGGTGTCCCTCAGTGGTACCCCTCAGTTGTGCCTCTCAGTGTTGTCCCTCAGTGGTGTCCCTCAGTGGTACCCCTCAGTTGTGCCTCTCAGTGGTGTCCCCTCAGTGGTACCCCTCAGTTGTGCCTCTCAGTGGTGTCCCTCAGTGGTACCCCTCAGTTGTGCCTCTCAGTGGTGCCCCTCAATGCTCACAGAGCTCTCACCTTAAGGCAGTGTTTCTCAACTCCAGTCCTCATGGACCCCCAACAGGTCATGTTTTCAGGATTTCCCTCAGATGAAACAGCTGTGGTAATTACTAAGGCAGTGAAACTGATCAAATCACCTGTGCAAAATAATGGAAATCCTGAAAACATGACCTGTTGGGGGTCCATGAGGACTGGAGTTGAGAAACACTGCCTTAAGGCAACTGAAATGCTCTTTATGATGATAGATAAATAGGGGTTCCTCCTCTCTCCACTCATCCACTGTTTACAACCACTGGTGTCCTCTTTTGTTTCCATTGATCACTGAACCTGAGAACAAAACAGTCCCTTTAAGGGTGGTTTGAGGTCAAAGGCTCCTACACTTGTGCAAAGGAACTGTGTGTGTGTGTGTATATATATATATAATATATATATAAATAATTTTTCCCCTTTTTACAAGTGATCACGTTTCCTCTGTTCTCAGCTGCATAATGTGGTGGTTTATGATATAATTTATTCTAAATACGTAGGGCGGTGTTTCTCTCCCTTAAACAAAATATCGCAGTGCCTCCAGCTGTTACAATATGGCAAATATTTAATGAACCAATAATTTGGACACCTTAATAATTTGATCACCACTTATTAATTTACGTTGAGTTCTTACACCAATATGATTTCGTACCATATACACAAAATGTGCCTTTTTGATAAATAAATGTATTTATGTACAAATATTTATATATATATTAATACAAACACAAAATACTGGTAATGAATATATTCGTACACACAATCAAAGATATAGTATGCTAGTCTCTACGGGATCATACAATATATCAAATGACTAAAAACAAATTCTAAAGGGGTTAGTTGCAACTTAGTGCTTCAGATATTATTTCCAATTTCCCGCGGCCGTAGGGAAATAAGAAAGTGTTTCTGATAATTAGCACCACAACAACATTACAAATCAGTTAGTATGCAGTATATGACCTCAGTATCAATACTCAAAAAGTTATAATTATACAGATAACCTTAATACATTCCTAACCACACAATAAAATGTTGTAAATCTTAATAAGTTTCAAATATCAAAGAAAATTACAGTATTTTGGCACAGTCTCTCCACTCCCAGATTCTCGATTTTGAGGCCTCCCAGTGGGATGCAATTGGAAAGGAAATGTTTCTGGGCAGTCAGGCACCAGAATTTAAATGAGCATCAGCGTCTCTGGTGGAAATCTTTTCCTTCAAATGGCCTTCAAAAACAAAATGGCAGCTGGAAGTTCTCAGCAAAATGGCCGTAGGTAGTAAGTGAGTATAGTGCAGTATATAGTGGTAGTAGAGTAGTTAACCACTTGACCTCCTGAGGATTTACCCCCCTTAATGACCACGCCTCTTTTTGCTACTCAGCGCTGCACTAATTCAACTGATAATTGCGCGGTCATGCAATGCTGCACCCAAACAAAATTTACGTCCTTTTTTCACACAAATAGAGCTTTCTTTCGGTGGTATTTGATCACCTGTGCGCTTTTTATTTTTCACGTTATAAACAAAAAAACGCCAAAAATTTTGAAGTAAAACAATATTTTTTACTTTCAGCTATAAAAAATATATAGTAAATTCAAAGTTGGTTATAAATTTAGGTCAAAATGTATTCTGCTCCATGTTTTTGGTAAAAAAATCCCAATAAGTGTATATTGATTGCTTTGTGTGAAGTTATAGCGTCTACAAACTATGGTATAGATACTGCAATTTACACCATTTTTTTTGGTATACAGCGCTGCGCTAGTTTAACGGACAATTGCGCGGTCATGCAATATGGTACATAAATGAAATTTACATCCTTTTTTTCCCCCACAAATTGAGCTTTCTTTCGGTGGTATTTGATCGCCTGTGCGGTTTTTATTTTTTTGCGCTATAAAAAAAAGGCTGACAATTTTGAGGAATAAAAAACAATATTTTGGACTTTTTGCTATAAAACATGTCCAGTAAAAAAAAAATACAAAAATCAAATTTAGTCATAAATTTCTGCCAAAATGCATTCTGCGACATGTCTTTGCTAGAAAAAAAACCCAATATGTGTAAATTAATTGGTTTACGTGAAAGTTATAGCGTTTACAAATGGCGGGAAAGATACTGGGATTTTTAGGGTTTTTTTTTTTTTTATACTAATAATGGCGGCGATCAGTGACTTATGGCGGCGATCAGGGACTTATGGCGGGGACTGCGGCGGACATTCTGATACTGGGGGGTACTGACTTGGGGTCACTGACATCCCCAAAAACACTAATACAGTGATCAGTGCAAAAAAAAAAAACTGACACTGTACTAATGGCAATGGGGAGGAAGGGGTTAACTTTATAGCAGGGAAGGGTTATAGGAGTGAGGGGGAGTGTTTTACTAGGGGGCGCGGGGGGTGTGTACTGTTCTTCTAAACTGTTCTTTCTCGATCAGCTCATCCTCGAGCTGTCAGGGAAGTGACAGACAGCACAGCTACTGCAGCTGTGCTCTCTGTCACTGTTTGCCGCCGATCGCCGGGACATAGCCGCTAAGGAGCAGCTGTGACCCGGCAACTGACATCTGCGGCGGTGAACCGCGGGACAAATAGGGCGGCGGCGTGCCACGCGCGCACCCCCTATTTGTTTACAAAACACACGTTTTAAAACGTGGTTTTGCCTGTGAGTGCCGCCCTGCCGCCGTATATGTACAGTGGCTGGGCGGCATGCGGTTAAGAAGTAGTTTCAGAAGTAGTAAGAAGTTTTGATCAGAATTTGTTAGACGTTAAAGTTAAAATTGTCTCAATTTGAGGTGTTTGGCATTTTATACCATACAAGTCCTTTGTTCCGAAGGACTTCCCAACAGGCTTTGTGATTGGACGGTTGAGAAGTTTGCCTACCTATAGAAGTTCCTTACCTGTCCACCAGGGACAGTCGGGTATCACAAATGAACTGATGATCCTAATGCTGACTCACCCTTTGATATAAACAGTATGTCTGTATGGATCAAATATATGTCCTATTCAAGTATAAATGATCTCCCCACTAACTCTTGAATAAGGACCACAGAAAGATGTGAATATATATGGATTCTCATTTTCCTGATATGAACTGTATTGGGATGGCTGATTTCCTTTGGAAATATAGAAATGACCCAACTCACAAACCATCTTATATTTTTAACTTCATGATCTTCAGTTGAGTGGTTTTCAGTACCCAACTTCATTGAATAGATTTTCCCTTGATGGAAAAGTGTTGGTAATATACTTTCAATCATGTTTCTGTTTAGGTATACCAAGCTGTGTGTCTTAAATGACCCCGGTGTCACCCTATGCTGAATGTACAGTTCAAGGAGATGACATAGGAAGCTTCATCCATTGTTGGGTAATTGGGGTAAACAGACTGGATTTTAACCTCAGGATTCAATAGCTGATTGTGATAGTTCAGAGGTTTTGTTTGGTGATCACACACCTTCCAAGGTTTTGGGAGAACTCTGGACAATAGGGATTCAGTCCCACGATTGTCACTTTGGTACGGTGTTTGATCACCTGCACAAATTCAAATATTGGTGTTTTAACCTCATTGTATCTTAACCACTTCCAGACCGGACACTTTTACCACCTTCCTGTCCAGGGAAATTTTCAGCTTTCAGCGCTATCACACTTTGAATGACAATTGTGCGGTCATGCAACACTGTACCCAAATGAATTTTTTACCATTTTTTTGAGACAGATAGAGCTTATTTTGGTGGTATTTATTCACCGCTGGGATTTTTATTTTTTTTTTTGCTATATAAATGAAAATGTCCAAAAATTTAGAAAAAAAATTGTTTTTCTTATAAAATTTTGCAAATAAATAATATTTCATGATAAATCTTGGCCAAAATGTATTCCGTTATCTTTTTAGTAAAAAAAAAAAAAACGCCAAATTAGTTTATAACCAAAAATTATAATTTTTTAAACATTGTTTTTACATTTTTATTTTATTTTTTTTATATTATT